AATAGCTATTTTATTGGGAGGTTTGCCCAGGGGATAGTTTTATCCCTCATAATCCTAGTTCTTGTGCTTCTGGGGGAATTCTCCACGATGCAGTTCTATTTCTTGAAAATGAAGTGGGCGATGTTCATTTATACATGGTTCTTTACAGGAGAAATATTTCCTATGAACAATATCACTTAGATAACCATGTTAATGGTAAAATGAAAAGGAAAGCTATGTTATATATTATCTTTCTGGTTGTACTGAACAGATACACATTCAGGCCGTGCAATGCATGGGGACTTATTATGAGAATATAATGGAAAATAAGATGAGAAAGAAACATGTCTATGGGTATTATGTTCAAAATTGATCAAAAAAGGAATATAAATGCCTCTTTTGTGTTCTTGGTATATCCCTACACTCAGCTATAGACTATTAACTCTTTGCACAGTCAAATGATTATAGACCAATCAAATGCTAGCTAGAGTGGCAGAGTCACCTGACACCAGGTATGATAATCTCTGTATAAAGGGATATTCTTCAGCCTCTTATCTCAGCAGTGGAATGAATAATCACCAAGATCTTCACAAATTTCCAAATTAAGTAGCAGGTAACTGAGGGTTTTTTTTTTTTTTTTTTTGAAAGAAGACAATGGAACTATCAGTCACTGTGAGGCTTCAGAGATTTTCTAGTACAAAAACAGTGATTTTTGGAATACTTACTAAGTGTGAGGCATACTGCAAAAATCATTTACTTTATTTAATCATATAAACACAGAAGGTAGATACTGCTAAGTCTGGGTCACCAATGAGGCCCAGAAATTTGAGAAATTTGTCAAAGTTCACATAGCTAAAAAGTATGAAAGCTAGAATCAACCTAGGTTTGGTTGTTGTCAAATCTAGCTGTTTCCAACGATACCACATTGCCTTTCACAGTAATTATTATAGAACTAATTAATACTTACGTATTGAATTTCATGCTTATTGGTCATATGTATATGCAGCCATCTCTCGGTCTTACTAACTTATTAACTTACTAACATAAGCTGAATATACTTATGTTTTAGTTGGTAGAGGAGTATACAAAAACTACACTGTTTCTGGGTATGAAAGAAGCAATTTTTCAATACAGCTCAGAACTAACGTGAGTCAAAATTTAGGTGCACTTAACAAAGACAACATTATTAGGAATAGAGTCAAGGAGTCCCTTGTCTCTTGTTCCTGTCTTGCAGGTGTTTCTTTTCTCTTATTTTGAGACTGAGTTTGGCTCTTGCTGCCCAGACTGGAGTGCAATGGCACAATCTTGGCTCACCACAACCTCTACCTCCCAGGTTCAAGTGTTTCTCCTGCCTCAGCCTCCCAAGTAGCTGGAATTACAGGCACGTGCCACCACGCCCAGATAATTTTGTATTTTTAGTAGAGATGGGGTTTCATTATGTTGGTCAGGCTGGTCTCAAACTCCCGATCTCAGGTGATCTGCCTGTCTCAGCCTCCCAAAGTGCTGGGATTATAGGTGTGAGCCACCATGCCTGGTCAAGGCTAGTGCTTCTTGAATGGCATCATGCTGCCCCTTTGCTTGTTAGCCTCCCTGCTCGAGGTTTCTACATAGCCAGAAGAACAAAAGTTAATAGCTCAAATCATGGCAAATTCAAATTTTCTTTGGTCTGATATGCATAGCATTTTGTTATTTTTGGAAATATATATATTAATAGATATCTCTTAGAAAATGATATATAGGATCCATATATAGTCTCCGAGAAGAATTTAGACTTTTGATCCCAGGTTAGTACATGCTAAATATTAAAATGGCCTTCTCACTAGGTTTCAACAAGTAGTTTCAAAATAGTATGAAAGAAGACTCATGGCTCTGATTACTGAAGGACAATCTGTAACGTTTCCCTATGGCAATCAAACTTTTTATTCCATAGTAACCAGTGGAGTTGTCAGTGATAAAGTAAAAAAAAGTTAGTAACGAGACAAATTTTATTTATGCAGTATGTCATGTTCTTCTTTTAGTGATACAGATTTTTTAAAGTGTCTTTGAACAAGTAAATTGAGCTATTGTGTAAAAACAAAAAAACTATATAATGACTATAATGTATATTTGTGAGCATTAATGCTTTCAAACCAACTCCCTACCCCCAAAGATGCTCGCTTGGCAGATTTATTATATTTTAGGAAAGATAACCTCTTCTAAATATGTTATTTTTTAACTTTGGTTGTTCAAAATACATGTATATTTACTTTCTTTGAAACACAGGAGAATAGCCATAGAACTCATAAGACTGCAGGAAATGCTTGCTTTTACATGGTCAGTAGGATTTCTCTTTTCCCAGAGGCAGTAACAAATCCAGTTCTTTTTAAGCAACCTTGCCTTCTTGGCCTATGGACTTCTGTTTAAAGTATGTTTTGCCTTATGAGTAATGTAGTCTCATCCACTACTTAGCCTTATACAAAACACTTTGCTTCTAGAATGCTGAAGAGCATTAGTCAGTATACACTTTCAAGCACTCATTTCTCTGCAGGAGCCCTCTGGCTAATACCAATTTTTAGCATATTTCATTCTCTCTGTCCTCCCCTCTTCTCTCTTCTCCTGTATTTTCCTCTTCTGTCTTCTCACTCTCTCTCTTCACACTCTTATAAAGTGAATTTTGTAAGTGACTCATTTAATGCCATAGTCTGCAAAATTATTTTAACAACAGCTTAGTATGCTGAAAATGAAATGTATAGAAAGTAGAGCAGGAATGTTTGAGAAAATGCATGGATAATTCTTTTTAGATCTATGTGATTTATCTTACAGCAACAGCAAAACCAGAAATAAAGCAGACTCACAGATTAGATTTATAACATACTTCTGCTCCATTCCTGTTTGCATGCTAAAATAATGTACAGCATGGAATTGTATAAATAGATAATTTCAAATAATAATTTATAAATGTAAGACGTACATTTTTAGTAGTAGTTATATTGAGGAATTGGTTTGTGGATAATTTTTTTTCTTCGTTATGTTTCTTTTTTCCTAATTTTTTACAAATAAAAATAAATGTATTCTATTATCTAAGGATCAAGTATTTAGAATGTTATATAAAAATATAACTTAAATATGTTTTCCTCTAATTAGTCTATTCAGCATATAAACAATGTTAATATGATCTTTAGTCTCTTATCCAATATAAAATATGTTTAATGTCTTAAGCCGACTCACAACCTTAAGTGGCTAGGAGTGGCTGAATTTATGTCAGTTTCCAAGGTATGCCTGATCTCCTTATGCCTAATCTCCTCATATGAGTGAATGGGATGTAACTTTTGATACTGAGAAGAGATCCAGCCAGGAATCTGAAGCTCTGAACCTAAAGGGACAGGAGCAAAAAGGATGCATACTAGATACTTGTCACCCTATGTTCTTTTGACCCACTCTGTGTGGCATGCAGGGAAGATCAAAGAGTACAGGTAGTTTTCACACAAGGATAGCTTTGTATCTCAAGCAATTGCAACTCTCTGTTACACTGCCTGAGGGCTAGCTTTCTGTGGCTTGGGGAAGCTGGCTAGGCAGGAGACAGGCATAATCCTGAAGTATGAGGAATATAAAGTCTTGGGGGCAACCATGAACCAACACAGATAGGAGTAGGGGGATAATGTCCCAGAATCCCCATGTGCTGAGAAGGCTATCATGAGGCATGTTTCACACAGTTTTTCCGAGTCTTCCAGTGGAATTGATCCCAGTCACAGATGATTTTCTTACCAAGTTCACTAGAATAAAGAAGAGTCTCTCCCTTAAGTAGTACATTGCCAATTTTGTAACCTGTGGATCTTGGAAATTGAGAGCTAGGATTTTCTATTTAAATAAGATCATAAAGTGACAAAAAAAATTCATTTCCAAGAGGAAAGTTAATTACAAATGTGGTCTAATTTGCACAAGATAAACAGCCAAGTGGAAAACTGAGATATTCAAACAACAGTTCAGCTATGAGGAGGTCTAGCGGGTACAGTCTAACTCAGTATGCCTTTATGAACATTACATGATGACCTAGCTGGCGCAGACATGCAGGAAAGGGGAAGTAACTCTGAGATGGAGCATTCTTGGCTCCATCAGACAACAGTGGCATGAGTCCTCTTCTGACCTGGTTGCCAAAGGAGTTCTAGTATCTCTTGCTCCTGGGAACCTTAAGGTACAACAACTTTTAATTTTTAGACTTTCCTTTTCATTGTCTCTCTCTTTCATCTTAAGCAAACAGAAATTTTAACTTCTGGGCTAGAAAAAAAGTTGACACAGTTCAAAAAATTTAATTATTCTGCCAAATGAGATCATTGGAAATATCAAGAAAATATATTTTGTTTACATCTTGAAATACTATCTTTATATACTTATTTAAGTTGATGTCTTTTCTGCTGCAGCAAAGATATTTTTTATGCAAATATCTTTGTCTGCTGGAAACAAAGATGTCACAGAAATTGGGATCATTAACATCTTCTCATACTGTAGGTTCTTTTTGTAATCAAAGCTCAATTTTAAAAAAAGGCACTGTGTAAAGTACATAGTTTAGTTCCAGAGATATAGTTAATGTTCAATAAATAAAACTTTTTCTGTTTTATTATAAAACTAGATTTATAATTATTTTAGGTAGGATATGCAACCAGGGGAATATAACCCAATTTCAAACTACTTAGGCTGATTTACTTCCCCAGATACTCCATCTCTAAAATTACCTTCTTCTAATTGTTTTCAGTATCTTAAGATATAGTTCTATTTTCTCACTGATACAGGCATTTATTGAATCAATATTCAATTGAGGGCAAACACTATGCTAAAAAAGGAAATAAAACAATGAAAACAATAACATAAACCTGTCCCCATGAAACTACAGTGTAGTGACAAAAGTAGATATTAACCAAATAATTATCCAAATGTGAAAATGTTATTGTCATACATGATTCTAAGAGGACATATTCGTCAGGGAGTTAAGGCAAAGGTGTGCTGCTAGAGCTGAAACCTGAAAATGTCTCATACTTCTCTTTCAGATATCAACTAAATGAGAATGAGAACTTACTACACAAGGCATGACAGACTCCAGGCATTATACACTCTGCACTTATTCCAGCCAGAATGTACAAAGCTCTCAGTGGAAGAACGAAATGTGACAGGAAGAATAGCTCGTAAGAAGGGCTGGAACAAAGAAGACAAGAATGGAGCACAGTGCAAGCTAAAGGTGGGAAGTTAGCTGTGGATGAGGCCACTCAGGCTCATAGACTCCAACATGGAATTTAAGTTGATATTTATGGTGCCCTTGAGGTTGGAAAAAAAAGGAGTGACATGGACGTTATGGAGACTGGACTGAAGTGGGAAGTAAACTTTTATGTTGACTGAAAAGACACGGAAAGCAGTGATGTCTACTTGCAAGAAGGACAGAATGATGGAGGTGAGAAATGATGGAGTTCAGAAATATTTAGAAAGTGTGGTGAACATCACTATTAATAGATTATGTATAAAAGGTGGTGTGAGAGGGAGATGAAAGGGAGGAGTAACAGATTTCTTCTAGCCTGAGATTTGAGTTACAGGGCATGGAGATGACTGGATTGACAAGGAACACTTTTAAGCAAGAGAGTGACGTAGGCAGTGCCTGTGCATTCATGGTTTATTTGACTAATGTTTGCAAAACAGCTACTACTCTGATGAAAAGATGACCATGGTTTTTAATATAAGTTTTCCTCTGTTTGAAAAGTACAAAGCTTGGCTGGGCACAGTGGCTCAAGCCTGTAATCTCAGGACTTTGGAAGGGTAAAGCGAGTGGATCAGTTGAGGTCAGGAGTTTGAGACCAGTCTGACCAACATAGTAGAAACACCTTCTCCACTAAAAATACAAAAATCAGCTGGATGTGGTGGCAGGCACCTGTAATCCCAGCTACTCAGAGGCTGAGGCAGGAGAATCACTTCAAACCGAGTGGCCAAGGTTGCAGTGAGCCAAGATAGCACTCCAGTCTGAGTGATAGCGCGAGGCTCCATCTTAAAAGAAGAGAAAGTGCAAAGCTTATTTGACTTCATTTCCTCTCCCCAACCTATATAATTATTTGATTATAGAAGCATAATTCAATGCATTTATCAGAATCATATAATGATAGCAACTTAAAGGATATTAGAAAACTTCTCGTTACATTTTGAAAGAGAAATACATTGAAATAATTCTACAAATACTAGTGAAACTTTAATACACGGCAGATATTTTTTCTTTGACATCAAATATAACATCAGATGTGTATGTATGTATGTGTGTGTGTAATTCACTAATATTTGTAGAATTATTTCAATTTATTCCTTATTCCTGGTGCTTCTTACAAAGACAGGAATATAATGGAATGGCAGTGGAAGAAATTTGCCATTTATTTCTAAAGAAAAAATGCTTGTAGCATAATAAACCTGTGTTCACCCTTAAGCCTCTGATAGTATTTTTATGGACTGAATTTCTATTAGTATTTCATTCTAAATCGACTTCACACCCTGTCAAGGATTATATGTAATTTTAAGTCATCGGTTCTATTTGATGTTGTGGATTTACACCCAATGCCATAATTGCACACAAATATATATAACATATTTCAAAATAATAAAGATTCCTTTTACTAGGAAATAGTAAGCATGAATGATTCCTTATAAAATACATTAACAATTAAACAAATAATTCCATTTTGTGGATTAATAAATATAAATTCCAAACATATTCCTGACTTTGCAGTAGTCTAATCCAACTTAATCTGCAAGTTTCAGCAAACATATGTCCTTGCTTTATGAGCATATATATGACAGCTAAATTATATGTTTATCATTTTCACTGAGGATATTTGACATTTATAGGTTGTGTTGAAAACAAACTGGATAATTTTGCTGCTTTAAAAAAGACAAACCCACTACAAAAACCGGATGCTCTCTACTTTCAAAGGAAGACAGTTTCTGCCTTCACGTATGAAGAGTTTTTACAACTTTTCTTTTACGTACAGAAAATAAAAGGAATCACAGCCATTGACAAGTTTTGTCAATCAAATCAAATCAAGTCAAAAGTGACAGCTTGATTTTCAGGTCTCTACCTTCTCTTTAGGAAAGGGAAGTATGAATTAGATCTCACAGAAAATTTGTCACAGCAATTAAGCTACAGAATTGCAGAATGCTTGTGAGAGACTTGGGTTCTGATTTGTAAGAAAAGTGTCATGTAGCATATCTATAAATTCTGTAGCTTTCAGTAAGTAACCAAAGCTTAAAAGGTGGAAAAAAGTCAAAATGGACTGGTTGCTAGGGCTTGCGGTGGGAAAAATAGAGTTACTCTTCAGTGGGTATAGAGTTTCAGTTTTACAAGATGAAAAGTTACAGAGATGAATGATGGTGATGACTGCACAATGCCAGGCACGAATTTAATACCATGAAATGCCACATTTTAAAATGGTTAAGATGCTAAAATTTTTAGTATGTCCATTTTATCTAAATTTTAAAAAATGGGAAAAAGAAGAGAGCATTCATCAGGTACAAATGAAATTATGTTTATAAGTTCATATTGTTAAATATTCATCCTGTAAATCAGATAAGCCCTGAATGACACCCTCTTTTTAATAGATTACTAGGACAATATATTGAAACAACATTATTTAGTATCCAAATTTCAGATTCCATTTCATCATGGTATAAAGACCTTTAACAGGATATATAAACAAAATGCTAATTAATCAGTAAACATCCTTGTTTTATGGTAAGATGGAATTGTTTGTAAAATGTATTTTTATTTCAATAGATTTTGGGGGATCGGGGCTGTTTGGTTTAATGAATAAGTTATTTAGTGGTGATTTCTGAGACTTTGGTGCACCCATCATCCGAGCAGTATACACTGTATCCAATGTGTATTCTTTTCTCCCTCACCTGACTCCTATCCTTTCCCAAGTCCACAAAGTCCAATGTATCATTCTTATGCCTTTGCATCATCACAGCTTAGGAGTGAAAGCATACGATGCTTGAAATAATGGTCTCCAATTCCATCCAGGTTTCTGCAGAAGTCATTATTTCACTCCTTTTTATGGCTGACTAGTATACCACAGTGATTATATATATATATATATATATATATATATACATACATACATACATACATACATACATACATATATCACATTTTCTTTATCCACTCATTCATTACTGGGCTTTAAGCCTAGCTCCATATTTTTGCAATTGCAAATTATATTGCTATAAACATATGTGTGCAGGTATCTTTTTCACATAATGACTTCTTTTTCTTTGGGTACTCAGGTGTGGGATTCCTGGATCAATGGTAGCTCTACTTTTAGTTTAGTTTAAGAAATTTCCACACTGTTTTCTACAGTAATCATAAATTAGACAAATATTATTTGACTTAAAAGAACTAAATTACTGGACAATAATTCCATTATTGAGAGGGTGTGTGTGTGTATTTGATCCTAATTAAAGCATATTGAATGTACTCTAGAAATAGTAATATTTAATGTTCATAGGTAAATTTCAAGTATTACCAATTGAAGAATATAAATTGAACTTAAAATTCACATTTAGTATAGGAAGAAATCTTAAATGGGAAAAAACTGTTAATGACAAAGTAAGAAAGGAAATGAATGAAAAGAGGAAGATAAAGTATAAAATTATATATTGTATATATACTAAAATATATATTTCTATATATTTTACTAATATACATATAATACATAATTTTATACTTGATATTCCTTTTTACATCTGTTCCTTTCTTAGAAATAAAGCTCCTTTCTTATATTAGAAAAAATATACTATATATAAATATATATTTTCTACATATTTAAAATGAGTAATTTCACACTGTGTCTCCCTTTGTCAATCCAATTTTTCTTACTTTGTCATTTATAAATTTTTCCCATATGAGTTTTCTTCATGTAATAGATTTGAATTTTAAAATTCCATTTATATTTTCAATTGGTAATACTTAAAATTCACCTGTGAATTTATAATATATCTAAATATATGTTAAAATATATATATTACAAATATATAAAATATATATATATTCAAATATACTTACATACTAGTGAGATAAATAAGTTAAAAGGCAAAAATTGTTAGCATGACTTAACGATTCAACCCAACTGTCTGCTCATTATAAAATATGTCTTCCAAATACTAGAATACACAAAAAATTAAAGTCTTAGTAACATACAGAAAAAATGGCAATTAAGACAATGTTGTTGTGGTATTATCAACATAAAACAAAATAGATTTTAAGGCAAGAAAGATTATTAGAAGATTTAAAATAGTGATTATATATTAGCTTCAATTGACTTGGAAGAAACTAAATTCTAAAAAAAAAATTATCTAAAAACTTTTTAATTTAATCAGCATATACAAGATTGTACTAGTAACAAAGACCATGGGAAATGCACATAAAATTATTAAAATTTCACAAAGTTTGAAATATCAGTATTTTATAGATTACATAACTCTGACTACAATGCAATTAAACTTAGAAATTGATTACTGGAGGTTAACTGACCCCTATCAAAATTGGCAAAAGTCTATTCCAAACGTCTTAAAGTTTTAGATGTGAAGAATATGTCTATAAAAGGTTAACAATATAAGACATATTTATCTAGAAATACATCAATATTTCTTTTAAAACAATAAAATATGTAAATAATAAAATGTGATAAATTTGGTAACATTAAAAAATTTCTGGCCGGGCACGGTGGCTCAAGCCTGTAATCCCAGCACTTTGGGAGGCCAAGGCGGGTGGATCACAAGGTCAGGAGATCAAGACCATCCTGGTCAACATGGTGAAACCCCATCTCTACTAAAAAATTTACAAAAAAATTAGCTGGGCATGGTGGTGCATGCCTGTAATCCCAGCTACTCAGGAGGCTGAGGCAGGAGAATTGCCTGAACCCAGGAGGCGGAGGTTGCCGGGAGCCGAGATCACGTCATTGCACTCCAGCCTGGGTAACAAGAGCGAAACTCCATATAAAAAAAAAAAAAAAAAAAAAAAAATGTCTACTTATCAAAATCACCATAAGCTAAAAACAAAAAGTCCATAAATATGAGAAAATATTATTTGCAACAAAAATAATTTTTAAAAGTTTGTATTCAAAACATGTAATCAACTTTAAAATGATTAGGAAAGATATTCGCAATAGAAAATAAAAGTATAAAATGTATGAAAAGATGTTTCTCAGAAGGGAAAACTAAATGGCCAATAAATAAGTAGGAGACTTTTTTTTTTTTAAATCTACAATACTAGTTTTGGTAAGCATGTAGAACAAAGATAATCTACGTTTCTGGTTTATTCACATCACTCATAGAATTTCCTACTTATAAAAATAATTGTAAATGCATCAAATTTGCCCTGATTAAGTATTTTATTTTCATATCTATTACTGAGTTCTATGG